GGTGGTTAGTAGGTCGAGAGAGGTTCTCCTTCCCCTCTACTCAGCCCTGGTGAGACCTCATCTGGAATATTGTGTCCAGTTCTGGGCCCCTCAGTTTAAGAAGGACAGGGACCTGCTGGAGAGAGTCCAGCGCAGGGCAACTAAGATGATTAAGGGAGTGGAGCATCTCCCTTATGAGGAGAGGCTGAGGGAGCTGGGTCTCTATAGTTTGGAGAAGAGGAGATTGAGGGGTGACCTTATTAGTGTATATAAATATATAAAGGGGGAGTGTCACGAGGATGGAGCCAGGCTCTTCTCAGTGGCAAACAATGAAAGGACAAGGGGAAATGGGTACAAATTGGAACACAAGAGGTTCCACTTAAACCTGAGAAGAAACTTCTTCTCAGTGAGGGTGACGGAACACTGGAACAGGCTGCCCAGGGAGGTTGTGGAATCTCCTTCTTTGGAGACATTCAAAGCCCACCTGGACACGTTCCTGTGTAACCTTATCTAGGTGTTCCTGCTCCGGCAGGGGGATTGGACTAGATGATCTTTTGAGGTCCCTTCCAATATCTAACATACTGTGATACTGTGATACCTCACACTAAACCATGCCACCTATGGAGTGGGTGAAGGACAAATGCAATAATACCATTTCCCTGAAGAATATCTGATAGAGACATGAGAGTTAATATATCCCATTATTTTTCATCTTTTCTGATATATAGATGAGAAACACATACATTATAGTAGTGCAAAATGCCCTCAACTGGAATATCACCCTGATAAATGCAAATGGACATGCAGTTTTAATTTGTTTGCTCTTGATTGGGAATCACAGCATGCAGAATATTAATGAGCCATGGGGTAGCAATCACCAACCCCAGACACGTTTATCTTGCATTGTGTTTGCTGATTGTGGCAGCTCTTTAATTTGGGTGTAGCAGTACCCCACTCTGAGACAGTTTTTCAGTGACTTCATAAAGGTATTAAGGTTATTAGTGCATGCTCACGCTGCTGCTGCACAATAGACATTCAGGTGATTTTGATGTAGTTAAGTTCATTTGTTCCTCTGCTCTGAGAAGCCAGTAAATAAAATCTCACTTATTACAGGAGCTTTAAATAAGGCTGTCAGACAAGAATCCAGTTTTCATTTTCATACAGGTTAGGTACTGTTTCCAGTTTTGTTTGAGGCTGAGATGGAGTTAGTGTGTAGATACTTGTCTCCTTGCTATCCGTTTTCTGAGTCCTTTGTTGTAAGAAATGTAAGCTGCTTGTTTTCAGCTTCAGGGACCTCCATGCCCAGTGAAACCACCTCTTTGATCTTTCACAGGAATGTCCAGTGGTCAATACCTACTTCCCATCAGTTCATCGTGACAGCAAACATTGCTTGCTCCTTACATTTTCAAGTCTGTTTTCACTTCCTCACAAGCTATCCTCACACTCTTGAAGGAAGTCTTCATTCATAACTATATTTCCTTGATGTCTTTCATTTCCCTGGTAAAAGCCCCCTTTGCCTACAAAAACCTGATTAGTGTAAACTGCTGGAAGCTGTCTGTCACTCATTGTTTCTTTATCAGTTGTGGTCTGTTTGTTGTCTGTCTGTCCTTTTGCATAAGCTTTTGGGGACAGAAAAGGGGGAATCAGGTCTTTTTCTGTTTGTTTTTTTTTCTCTATGTTTTTTAAACTCAATAAAACAGAATTACTAAAATTTCTAAGCTGTGTATGTGATAAGCACAATAAATGACATATCACTCCACAGAGCAAGTTAAGCTTACATATTCAAACGCTCAGTAGTAGTAAGCGTGTAGTGTATAGAGCTCCTTCCAGCCAAATGCAACTCTGGCCCAAGGTATTTGTAAGGTTGTGTTTTGTTTTTTTTTTTTTTAAATGGGTCCAGATAATAGCAGTTTAAATAAAGTACAGAACTCATCTATTTTATTCTTAATTTATACTGGTGCTTAGGGAATGTGCAGATATTTAAAAAGAGTAAAATCAATTAACTTGTGATCCAATTATTTATGTTAACCACTATGGGGTTTTATTTTAGAGCACTGAATCAGATTCTCAGTGTTAAGCACTGTGCTTTGAGAATATAAACCTTGCATTTGGAAATATGATGAGCCTGTCATTATCTTTTTTCTATTTCCAAATCTAATTGCTATTTTTGTCCTTTCATAGTTTTTTTAACTCCAGTCTTCAGTTTTGTTTTTGAAAGGGACCCAGTATAAATATAACAGATTTTTTTTAAATACTATGAAGCTTATTCTTAATATAAAGGTGGTTGAACAAGCAAAAGAGTTCACCTTCTAGATAAAATACACTATATTTTTCTGGGCCTGTCTGTTTTGCAGTAGATATTTGTCTTCTGTAATCACAAATCTGTGATTTATGACACGTTTCACGTTATAAATTTAGAGCAGGTCCATGTGACAACTTCTACATTTTGATCATTCTGCTTTTTCATCCAGTGTGAACAGATTTTCTTCTAATGTTCCAGACAGCTTCAAACACCCTCAGTGTTTATATGGTCATTTCTAAATGCAAAGAGTACTCAGAGTGTACCACTACATTTGGAATTCTTTGGCTTGGCACAGTCTTCACCTGTAGACATTGTCATTTCCTTGATCTGCGGGTGTCACAAGCTCTGCAGTTTTATGCCCACAGCAAGTCTCTGTGCCCTTTCTCTACTACTAACTCACTGCAACTGAGTCTACTGAAAGCCCCTCCTAAATGAGGAGAAGGTAGGAATGTAAAGGAAAGCCTGCTCCAGCTGACATAACCTTAATATTTTTAAGTGACTTTAAACATATTTTTTGAACTAGCTAGCACATCATGGCAACCTTTTCCATCGTAGTCTGGCACCGGTGTGGTAAGCATAATAAATTCATTTCACTGGCTTCACAATTATGTATCTGAATAAAACAGCCAGATCTTTAAGTACTTTACCCTAACAGCTCTTACTGATCCCAAAGTGATGCAGGGAGTATTGAACACCTAATTGACTCAGACTTGTGGATTAAGGAAAAGGTCTTTCAGAAGGATCAATATGAAATAGGAGCAGATGCACAGTGAAATCTAAGGGTTCTGTTCCTTAGCTTTACATTCCTTGAAGTCTAGTCACCTTTTTACATGGTTGAATCAGAATTATTTGGTACTGAACACTTGTTGGGAAAAGTTCTGGCCCTTATGGTTCTGATGTCTTGTTTTGTACATCCTCAAGCTGAGATAATATGAAATAATACAAAAATATCAATCAGGCTAATTAGCTATTTTTAATTAAAGTAAAAGGTGTCCAAGTGTTTTCCAGTGACAGCATTTTGCTGAGCAGGAAGGAATACAATCATGGTTATAATTCCTCTGTTATATCCAAGATTTTTAATAAGGGATTTTCTTTTGATTTGTTTTAACGCAAATGAGAATATTGTTATACTGTCATTTAGAGTTAATTAAACTGCAAATGAGCTTAATGATCTGTCTGAAACAAAGCTCAATCACAACCTGTTACATATTAATGATCAAAATCAAAAGAATCTTTAAATTCTTTGTTAAATATACCAACGAAGATAGAAATAGCCAGTCATTAATGTCATCCTTTTATAACATCAGGTCTGAGGCTGGAAAGCTTGAACTGAATGCATGCACTCAAATTATGCAGCTAAATTAAAAAAGGATTTAGAAACATAAGTCAAATCTATTGGAAAAAATGAAAACAAGGATAACTGAACACAGAAAAAGACATAGTTTTCTCCTCTGTACTTTACTATGTGGGAATCCATTTGCCTAGTATTTGTCCAGATTGTGAATTCCATATATTAATAAAATGCTATTTTCTGGATTTAATAGTCTTACAAAATCTGTAGTGTTATGAATTTATGTAGTCTATGAGACAGAGAAAAAGATGTTTAGTCTATTTAGGTCTTAAAGCCACTTGGGTGATTTTTGCCCTAGAGTTGCCACTGGCAGCGTGGCATTTAATCATGCTCAGGAAAGACTGTTTACGCCATTAAAGTTTGTAATTTCAGAGTTTTGAAGGCTTGACCTCTAAAAGTGCAAAGATTTTCTAATGTTCTATAATGATACTGCTGGTGTTCAGCACTTTTCAGGACTAAGCATGTTACCATTCTGGTTTATCCACCTACAAAGCAGGTATTATCATTCATATACAATGCTTTTAGCGTGTCAGCCTCAAGTACTTGAGAGGGGAGGAGTATTATTAAGTCTGACTCCTAAAACCTTTTCCAATGGTTTGCTTAATATTTTTCCTACATAAATGAGAATGATGTTGTACACCATTTGTCTGGATAGTAAATTAGAATTTTCTCATAGGGCTTGGCTAGCTGAATAGTACAGCAATGCAAAAAGATCATAAAAAATTCTTCCACTGAAAGAAGAAACTAGCAGTGACTTTAACTTATAAAGACAGAGTGGTAGCATGAGGTCCAATTATTTTGTAGCCTCTTGGAGAATCCTCTCCAAAAGCAGCATGGTAACAATTTTTGTAAAAAATGTTTTATATATTGGTAACAGTGTAGTGAAAAATTAATGTGTGGTGTAACTTACGAAAATAATCGTCTGAAATGCAAAATTGGATTATTTGTAAATAATAGTATGTCTGAGGGCAAGAACGGGCTGTATGTGTGAGTTTCTGTTCTGCTTAGCTATGTGTATATTTCCCTTTCTGTTAGCATAGCACGTATGCAACACTACATATTTTCAGGGTTCACTTTTCCAGTAATATGAGATGAACTGTTGTCTTGTGATCAGAATCTTGAAAGCTTGATTCCTGTCACATTGCTGCTTATCTCACATTTATTTAATGGTGAGTACCTCTAATGTGCTACCTTATATATTTCATGAGTGAGAATTTATTATTTAAAGCCTATAACATTCCGTTTCAGCTAAGAATTACATCTTTCTCCTGTTGTGGTAAATAATTAATGCTGGCTTGGATATTTCATGTGTGGTCATTAATTGAAAACAATAACAATTGCCTCTATGTTGGTTTTCCTTTTTTCTAGTTTCTTGCTACAGTAAAGGAGGGAATCACAGGTGTAATAGTAAACTTAACCATTCGTGACCAAGATGACCCAGCAACTGGAGCATGGAGAGCTGTCTACACCATTATTAATGGAAATGCAGGGCAGAGTTTTGAAATCCATACCAATCCCCAGAATAATGAGGGAATGCTGTCAGTTGTCAAAGTAAGAACCGTTTGCTGTTATACTGTATTATTACTGGTAGGTCCACCTATTGGATTTACTGCATAGGAGAATGCAAAGCAAGGATTAGTTACTTAAAAACATGTAGTTGTCTACCAGCCCTTGTCCAAACAATATGTATAACCCTTCTCTCACAATAACCTTTTCTTTAGTCATAAGGACACGCCTGTTGCTAGCTATATTTCCATTTTGCTTAAATAACAGCTGGCTTTACGGTGAGCATTGCAATTAGTACTGAGACTATTTTGTTTGTGTCTGAGGGCATGATTAAAATTCAAGGGCCATATATTGCTCTCAGAGAACACAGATGCTAACACCAGGGAAATAAGGGGATGTGCATTCTGACTGAGGGTCTGTCTTTGCTCCCTTGTTTCTAAAGTCTCATGAAAAAAAAAATCATAATTTATTGCCTGTCTTTGTATGAAGATAATCCTATACCTCATACTTGAAAAAAAAAAAAAAAAAAAGAAGAGAAGAAATTAGCTATGTTTGCTGCCTCTGTCAGAACTTTCTCTGTTTGACTCCAGATGAGGTATTTTCAATTCTTAAGACAAATGTTATGTATGGGGGTGCTTTTGATTTCAAGACAGGAGTTGAGAAAAAAACCATAAGTTATTTAACATATGTAGCTACTGAGTATGACTGATCTGTTTTCTGAATACATATTGCACCACAAATATATGAGAATTATATGTATGAGGTGTGGCAAAAAAAGTATATGGTCTTGGATAGAGGGACATCTCCATCTTTCATTAAGTCTACTATATTCATTACCATAAATGCACTTTAAAACTACCATTGTGTCTAATGCTAAAGTCTGACAATGTATCAGATGTAAGGAATGCTGTTGTCTTTTTCTGACTAATTCTATCTTCTGAAAGTTTCAATGGGGTCCAAGGAAAAAGTCATTAGTATTGTCCTAGCACCTTGCTTTCTGATTTTATTATATGTTTTACAGCCTTTAGACTACGAGATTTCGGCATTTCACAGGCTGATGATCAAAGTGGAAAATGAAGACCCGCTGGTTCCAGACATAGTATATGGCCCCAGTTCCACAGCAACAGTTCAGATCACTGTTGAAGATGTGAATGAAGGCCCAATTTTCCACCCAAACCCGATGAGAGTGACAAAACTAGAAAACATCCCTATTGGCAGCAAGGTGTTAACGGTAAATGCCACTGATCCAGACACTTTGCAACATCAGACTATCAGGTGAGAGCAGTACCCTGTAATTTTCATCCATCAGAAAGTGAGTATGCCTTTGGTGCCCTGAAAATTTGCCTACCAGTGCAGAATTAAAGTTGCTGTTTTACACAATACCACAATACGAAGTAGTAATTTATCTTTTTTTACCTGCAATGGATGGAAACAAAGCATTGCACTAGACGGGGGGCAGCAGCTTTCTGGGCTATGAGATTACTGCAGTAGAACAATAGAATGCCACAATCATTAGACATAGCTTTGCATACAGTTTCAAAATTACTTTTAACCTGCTTGTTTATTCCTTTTCCTTCATAAGAGCCAGAATGACATGTAAACATTGAAAATGTGTATAGAAATAATTATGTCTTACATATGGTTTAAGTCAATATATGATCGTTCATATAATGTCACTCAGCAAAATAATGACCATTCCTCCACGTTCAAGGGCAGAGAAAGTATTTCTCAGTGAAACATTGAAGCTTACAGTCTAAGCTTTTAGTGAAGCTAAAACTTGGCCTTCAAGTGGTGTCATCATCTTACATTTTGAACCCCCTACTCTGGTCTTTTAGTTTTTAGATTTGTTGAAAAATGGAAGATAAACCACTTTTTTCTCTAAATCTAAATTAAATTTCCAGACAGCTTTTCTCAGCACTTGAGAGCTGCAGGTTAAGCACTACAACTAGAATCTATATCTATGTTTAATTTTTCATTCTTCCTTATGAGTCTAATTTCCCCTAGATATAAATGTATATAAAAGAGTATAAAGATCTTTGTGAGAATTATTTCAAAGCTTTACCTGAACAATGTGCACTGTCAATCTACACCATAGATGCACGTTTCTTTACTATCACAGGGTTGTTAAACAGTGATTGTGTACTTCTTAAAGAAGGTTTGATATATGTTCTACAAAAAAAAAAAAAAAACCCACACCAAAATTCTGATATTGAAGATGTTCTGTGTCAGTAACTAATGATAGTAAACATGCCATTGCAAATGACCTCATTGACAGCCTTGGATTCGAATGATGAGGTGAATTTAAGCAAGCGAGTGCACACATCCTTAAGGAAAGAGGAAAAAGATAAGGCAGATAATTGTAAGTTTCAACTCTCTGCATCACCTCAGAAATACCTCAGCAGCATTACTCAGAACCCAGCTTGTGTAGGGAAAAGATATTTATTCTCTTTGGGGTTGGGACTGAGTTTAAGAATCATAGAATCCTAGGATAGTTAGGGTTGGAAAGGACCTTAAGATTATCTAGTTCAACCCTCCCCTGCCATGGGCAGGGAAAGCATACATATTAAGAAGCATACATATTGAAGTTATCTACAACTTAATTTTCATGGGAGATAGAGAAGTTGTATTAACGAATGTAACAGTTGATTTTATGATGTTAAAAGAGAAAAGCCAGGAAAAATATAAGGTTTTGGTTATCAAAACCAACAATCCAGAAAGTGTTAGCTGATTTTTTCCCCTTGACCTCCTGATTTTGTTGAGTTCCTCCTAATTGCATTCATACTGAAATAGAACATACCAGTGACTTACTGAAAGCTCTGTTGGCTTTGGGTGTTGTGTGTAACCAGTTGAACAACATAAATGCTTTTTGCAGTGCACCACATCTCACAGCTGGCTGCAAAGGAACTCTCAGATCTTGACTATAATTAGCTCATAATCTAAATGGAATTTTCGCAGAAGTTTTTCCATACCAGCGTGGCCAAAACCTGGAAGGTTTTTAGCCAAAAGTAAGATTTTTCTTTTCTTACCCTCCATGTATAGAAAAGAAGAGCAGAAATAAGCTAGATTGAATTGAGAATAAAGCATTATCATATACGAAAATGCAAATATGTAAGTGGAAGTGGCTGTATAAAAGGAAAATAATGCAAATGCCATGGAAATCTGGGAAATGGGTAGAATGATTCAGGAAAGGCTAATCTGACTGCCTGTATGTCTTTTTGATAAAATAATAGTAAAACATAAACCATCATTTTTAGAAGATGTTTTAACCTTGGCAGGTATTATTGAAACACAGAGCTACTAGCAGTGAAAATGGAAACCTGTAGTATATCAGAATAGTTCCTACAGGCAGGTGTGTGGTTAGGTGTAGGTCCAGGACTTCTGCAAAAAATTCATAACAGGCTACATGGTTCTCAAACTATGCTAATATAAATTATATCATCAGAATCACTGGTATGATTATAGTGGTAAAATGAAGGCCAAGTAGGCACAATACATTCTTTTAAATGATATATTGCACTAAATATTGATGACCATGGGTAAGCAATGTTTTATGTCTGCAAGAAGTAACAAATACCAGATTTGTATTTTGTGTGCTATGTGAACAATGTACACCAACCCCAACAAAGTATATCTCTGTCCAAAATGTGCAGACAGATACAAACAGAAGAACAACAGAGAATTAGTAATGTGTTTTTTTCCTTTCAAACTGTTACAACTGAGCTATGTCTAACCACAAAGCTATTTTTGATTAGTTTTCTATATAAAGCTTGTAGGAGGGGCTGATGATTATTTGTAATCAGCAAATTTAGTTACTCTACTAGATAAAATATGATAAATGCATTACTAGAACCATGAATAGTGCATAGTGCCATTGTCCATATCTAGATTGAATTTATTCCTTGAACATTGCATATCTGAATCAGATTCAAATGACATCTTTTGAAAAGCATGGCTTACTTTGTAAGAATTCTGAAGACATCTGTACTTTTGAAGCAATTTTCTTTCTTATTCTTCAGCTTAAAGTGTTTTTTGAAGACTGAAAAAGGATTTCATTTAAAAGCTCAAACACACTGGCCAAAATGTATTACACTGAAAAAACCAGGACTCCAATATTTATAAGACTCAAAAGCACGTACCTTGAGCCTTGGCTATTTGTTTTTATTTAATTAGCAGTGAACTTTCGTGGTATCAGATCTTCTCTGATCTACTCATGTTAACAGTCCAAAGAAACTCCAGGTAGAGATAGGCACATCATTCTGGAAACAAGAAACACAAGCTCATTTTGTCCAGCTAAATAATGTAGGCATCAAGTTTAATCTTACTCTCACTTATACCTGTTTAAAATTAGATTAACATTGACTTTCACAACTATTCTCAGCTCTAAGACTTCCTATGAAAAGTCTGCAATAAGCACAGTGAGTTTTGTACTATGGATGCTGTAGCGAGGAAGGGGCAAAGAGAACCAGTGGTTTATTCTGAACACATGCCTTTGGGTGGAAAATAGCTTGAGTTCCCCTATGGTCATTTGCAGAAAGAAAAGGAACCTGTTCAAGTTGGATCACTTTTCTTAGATCCATTAACCTATTTCTTTTTTCTTTTTTTTTTTTTTAAGTATTTAATTCCCTCTACAGTTTTCAACTTTTTCAGAATTAAAAAATGAAAGAAATCCAGGAGGCCCCATTTTAATTATAACCCAACAATTTATTAATAGAACAGTAATGAAGTTTCTGAAATTTGATTTCTTAATCAGGGATCATTGTTATTTTTGTGCCAGATTTAAGAGTTTAATTTTGGGTGCTTCTTCCCAACCTCTGAAATTTTAATCAGAAGTTTCAAGTGTACATGTCAATGAGAAGTTAAAGGCTAAATTTAATAACATTTTCTACCTTGGGAAATTAAAAGGAGAAACTCACTTTCTGAAATCTGTTATTAACAGCAGACCTTAATTAAACACAGTTACGGTTCTCAATATTTGTCTGTGTGAAGAGATTGGTTTCAGTATTTTTCCCTTTTCTGGATTCAACAAGTCCAAAATATTACATCGTTAGACTTTTAACTATGTGTAAATAAGTTGTTTACTGCAATGTGTTTGTAATTTTTAATTAAAGCAACACTGTTCTCTGGTTTTGTGCTTTATCATGGCAATATATTTTTATTACCTACTGTGCTCTTGGATTTTAAATTATTTATATGAATATATTATCGTGGTATTTATTCTCAGTAAGCAATGTGACTCAATGCTCCAGAAATATCTTCACAAAAAAAGTTTATTATAACTCTAAAGTATATTTAATTCATTAAGTAGAATTAAAATGCAGTATTTGAAGCTGGAGAAGTTAGAAATAGAACCCAAACTGCAGCGGGTTTCATAGGAGTGTGAAATACTGCCAAAAATATCTGAATCAATATATGTAAATAGTATACATATTTGGGTATACGTGTAATTTTCATAGCTGCACCTCAACCCAGTAGACCCCATATAGTATAAGTGGCCTCTGGAAGCATAGGTACATTGAATTAGTGGTGAAGTCTCAACTGTAGAAATTTGAAGGCCAATTTTTTGCTTGGAAGATGGCACCCTTTTTTCAGTTCTGGTCTTCTTATATCACCTTATCATTAATTTCCAATTTCCAATTGTTTCAGATTAGTCATTTCAGATTAGAAAAGTCTGTGACAGATTCAGCTACAAAGCTGCATTCTAACCCATAGCTTGGACATTTGGCTTCTGTAGCACTGCTGTTGGACTGGCTGTGTGCTTGGTAGCTCTGATAGTCTGGAAATATGAGCAAAGTCACACTTATTGCAATCATCTCCAAATAACACTGTTTTATCAGAAAGGTTGATAGGCTCTGTTTGTCTTTACATTAAGTGCATTTTTCCATACAGCAAAGTAAGGGTATATATTAATGAAGCTTTATCCTTGAACATCAGACCAAGGAGATGATAAGGCTAAATCTAATACAATCAAAAGTGGATGATCACTTTTGTTTATTTGCCCTTTTACCAAAAGGAACTGAACAATGGACTTGCCATTGACTTTGGGAATGGAAACATTTACTACTGGACCACAGTTTGCTTTAGATTACATCATCATAACTTTGGGGTTGGTGCCTATGGAGTTGGTGGAAGTCAGTGAAAATGTTCCAGACTTCTGTTGGTGGCAGCCAAAACCTGCATACACTCTGTCAAAAATAAATGCTTAAAATTTTGTGATATAAGGCTGAAACTACACTGAAGGGGGATTATAGCTCAGTGACTTTCTTCCAAATCTTAAATACCCAAGAAAACTAAGGAGAATTCACTTG